GAGAAATACTTCCATGTATCCTATATGATCAAACTTCAATAAAGCTTGAAATAAACAGCAAAAGAATCTCTGGAAATTACACAAAATCATGGAGATTAAACAATACTACTCAATGATGTATTGACCAAGGAGGAAAGCAAGAAAGAAATTTTAAAAATTCTTGAGAACAAATGAAAGTGAAAGCACAACACACAAAAACCTCTTGGACAGATAAAAAAACAGTCAGTGCTAAAATGAAAATTTGTACCTCTGGGCACCTACATTAAAAAATCAGAAAGAGCAGAAATAAATGACTTAATTATATAACTCAAGAGTTTGGAAAATAAAGAAAAAACAAACACAAATCCAGTAGATGGGAAGAAATAATAACAACCAGGGCAGAAGATGATCAAATAGAAACACCAACAACAGCAACAAGTGTTCCTGATTCTGTTCATTTGTTTGTAGTTCTTTGTAATTCTGGAAGAATTATGCTCTTAATCCATCTAGATCTGCATCGTTTTTACTCAGAAGACTTTTTATTAGTATTTCATTCTCCTTATTTGTTATGGGCATATTTATGATATTGATCTCTTCTTGATATAACTTTGGTGGTTCAAATGTATCGAGAAATCTGTCCTTTTCTTTCAGATTTCCTACCATAATGGAAAATAGACTTCTAAAGAATTTCACTATAATATTCTGAAGTTCTTTGGTATCAGTTTTAAAGTTTCATTGTTCATCTCCGATTTTGTGAATTTTGGTATCATCTTTCTTTGTTTTAATTTGTCAATCTTGTTTATCTTTTCATAGTACCAGTCCCTAGATTCACCGATTCTTTGTATTACTGATCTTTCCTATGATGTTCATCAGATTAGGATTAAGAATGGTAAAATGTCATGGCAATCCATTTTTAGGTTTTTTTTTTTTTTGAAGATTTGTTATTTGTCTTTCTGTATAAGTTGTATAAAATATTCTACGAAAAAGCTTTTGTCATATCTGCATACAACCCATTAAGATAAAGATCTGGTAAAGTAGAAGATAACTGAAAATGAAATACAGATAATACTGAAATGCACACACCACTTTCATAACAATAGATTTAAAATTTTCTGATAAATGTGGGCAGGGGTTTCCACATACAGAGTTAATGATCTTTGCTTTGCCCAACTGTTTCTGGAAGTTTTGACATTTTTGAAAGCAAACTCTGCTAAGCTGTCTTTTCAAGCTGTTGAGTCCTTGGAATTTACTGGACTGCTGAGCCTAAAAATCACACCTGAAAGCACTGAGTTTGAAACAATAGGGAGTGGCTCTATATAATTCCTGCACATTCCACAGACACATAAGTGGGGGGGTGGGTAACACTTCCAGGTGTCAACTTGTGTCATGGTCCAGTAAAAATGAACAGATGAACAGAAGTATACATTAAAATTAAAATAAATGAATAGGTGATAAAAATGTTAGAATCCATGCGGCCAAAAGTTGATTTATGGATAATATTTTTTAAGTGGTAGTACTTTACCCTGACTGACTGAAAAAGGAAAAGACTCATAAAATAGTAATGAGGCATCACCATAGTCAATACAGAAATAAAGATTATAGGAGGCCACTATGAACACTTGTACACCAACAAATTTTATAACATATAAAATGGACAATTCTAAGGGTTACACAAACTACCAAAACTTGGTTGAAAAGGAACAGAAAATATGAACCGACCTATAAAGACTAAAAGAGATTGAATTGGTAATCAAAGCCTTCCTAACAAAGAACAGTGCAGAACCAGAAGATTTCACTGGTGAATTTCACTAAATGCTAAAATAAGAATTAACACTAATTCTTTTCAAGGTCAGCCTTGAAATAGAAAAGCATACTTCCTTACATATCCTACTGAAGCTAGAATTAGCCTGATACCAAAATCACATAAAGACACCACAAAAAAGAAAACTACAGATCAATAGCTCTACAATATATTCTAAACAGAATACTAGCAAATTGAATCCAGCAGCATATTAACCGGATTATGGAACACACCTGGGTTTTGGCCCAGAAATGCAAGGTCAGCTTAACACGTCAAAATAAATTTATGTCAAACCGTATCAATTGAATAAAAATCAAATCATATAATCATCTCAATAAATGAAAAAACCTAAAAATCCTCCATACCATTTCATGATGAAAGTGCTCAAGAAGCGAGGAGCAGAATGCCTTTAATCAGAAGATAAAAAACTCCATGGTAAAAAAAGGATGCTTAATGGTGAAAGCCTTGATATTTTTTTCCAAGACTAGGATAAGATTGTCTGTTCTCTCCTTCTCTTTAAAAGATGCGACATTACATATTAATATTAATTATTTTACTAGAGTTTGAAGCCACAGAATCTAAGGAAGGAAAACAAATACAAGGGATTCGTGTAGGAATGTCTATTTAGAAATGATATACTTTTCAATAATAAAATACTAATTCAACTACTGAAATCTATCAGTAATAATGAGTAAGTTCATTAAATTTTGGTGCCTAGTCCAATTTGGAAAAAAACCCACTGTAGTCCTATATATTTGCAATAAAGAGTAAAAAATGAAAGTTAAAAACATCATTCCTGCTGGACCTGGTGATGTGACCCTGTAATCCCATTATTCTAGAGGCAGGTCTGAAAGACTAGTGCACGTTCAAAACCAACCTGGGCTATATAGTGAGTTTTTGACCAGCCTGGACTACTTAGTGAGTTTTTGTCTCAGAACCTTGAAAACTAACAAAGAAAGTAATTCCATTTATAGTATTATTTAAAAGAATTTTATTTTATGGTAAATTTAATAAGAGAAGTTCAAATATCAAAATATGATATTCACAAAACAATGTTGAGGATTTGAAGATTTAATATTAAGATGCCTATACTCTACAAATTGATCTTTAGATTCAGTGTAATTTTAATAGACTCTCAGAATATCTTTGTGGAAATTGACAAGGCAATTCTATAACTCCGAGTCTGGAATGGCCAAAAGAGTCTTGGAAACAAAAAATACAGGTGTATTTACATTTTCAGTTTCCAGAATTTTTAAATGCAAAGACAACCAAGAAAGTGTGGCACTGCCAAAGTAGTGAGCATGTAAGTCAATAGCACAGTATTATGATCCGTCAAAAATGCAGGGATCAATTTTTAAAAATTATTTATTTTTATTCTATGTGTCTGAGTGTTATGCCTGCATGTAAGTGCACCCATGTCACAGAGTACCTCTGGACGACAGAAAAGGGCATCGCAACCCCTTGAACTAGGGTGACCAACAGTTGGTACCTGCCATGTGGGTGCTGAGATTAGAACCTGGGTCTTCTGCAGGAGCAGTCAGTGCTCTTAATTGCTGAGCCATCTCTCCAGTCCCAAGCCAGGATCAATTTTTAACTGATATTATTACAAGGGCACCAAGAACAGTCCATGGAGAAAAGAATAATATTCTCAATAAATGATACTGGGACGATATGTAACCTCATCGAAAAGAAAATCGTTATCTTATATCACACTATTCCAAAAAAATTACCCCCAAATAGATCAATCACTTAAATGTAGGCTCAAAACCTATGAATTGGAAAAGTATTCTTGTGTTTTATATCCAAAATATAAGAATGAAAAGGAAAAATAGAAATTAGTTAAAGACAATTCTTAAAATAATTAGAACAATAGTTTGAAAATTACCATTGTATCTTATTTATTGTTTAATATTTAATTATTATAACTTAAATATCATGAGTAATTTTGAAAAAAGAATAAGAATAATATTTTGTCAAATTAAAAAGTTTTGTGCTTTGAAGCCAAGAAAGTTAAAGACAATCCATAAAGTATAAAAAGTGTTTTCAAATAATGTACCTAATTTATGCATATACTTTTAATGT